TGCTTTGTTTAATTTGTTGTACATATTAACCATGACCTTCAGAACATAAGGAGTGTTGCTTTGTTTAATTTGTTGTACATATTAACCATGACCTTCAGAACATAAGGAGTGTTGTTTTGTTTAACTTTATGTACATATTAACCATGACCTTCAGAACATAAGGAGTGTTGCTTTGTTTAATTTATTGTACATATTAACCATGACCTTCAGAACATAAGTAGTGTTGTTTTGTTTAACTTTATGTACATATTAACCATGACCTTCAGAACATAAGGAGTGTTGCTTTGTTTAATTTATTGTACATATTAACCATGACCTTCAGAACATAAGGAGTGTTGTTTTGTTTAATTTATTGTACATATTAACAATGACCTTCAGGACATGAGGAGTGTTGTTTTGTTTAATTTATTGTACATATTAACCATGACCCTCAGAACATAAGTAGTGTTGCTTTGTTTAATTTATTGTACATATTAACCATTACCTTCAGAACGTAAGGATTGTTACTTTAATGTATTGTATGTATTAACCCTAATGATATGAAATAAAGATGATATATAATGCTGTACCTGCTATATGGTGTAGGAGAGAAATAAATGTATGAAAGTAAATTATTTTTTATTTTGATATGAATCTTGTTAGACAGCTAGTCCAACTTATATAAATATATACTTGAGATATGAATCAGTTTATCTTTATCTACACATGTACCCTTCTGTTCTCCATAGCTAATTATCGCATCTTATTTCTGAGATTTATGAATTTTTTTACACTGTTTAAAACATACTTTTACACTGTTTATAACATTCTTTTACACTGTTTAAAACATACTTTTATACTGTTTATAATACACTTTTACACTGTTTATAATATACTTTATACTGTTTAAAACATACTTTTACACTGTTTATAACATACTTTTATAATATTTAAAATATACTTCTACAGTTTATAACATACTTTTATGCTGTTTATAACATACTTTTATAATATTTAAAATATACTTCTACACTGTTTATAACATACTTTTATGCTGTTTAAAACATACTTTTACATTGTTTACAACATACTTTAACACTGTTTAAAACATACTTTTACACTGTTTACAACATACTTTTACACTGTTTAAAACATACTTTTACACTGTTTAAAACATACTTTTATACTGTTTATAACATACTTTTATACTGTTTATAACATACTTTTATACTGTTTACAACATACTTTTATACTGTTTACAACATACTTTTACACTGTTTAAAACACTT